CTGTCAGAGACAAAACGTATTGGCGTTAAAAATGGCCTCTTGGATTTGTCAGATAAAATTGCACTATATTTCTCCTTTTCGTCTTTTTTAGTCCAATATACAACGGTAAAAACAGGGTATTACCTCCGAATTCTTGACACACGCACACGTTTTTAGGGGGTGAAAACTACCCCTTCTTGCAACATTTGTAGCATCATTTCAACCCTTAAAATCCATCTTTTATGAGGGGAAAAAAAACAAAAATTAGTTTTCGCGGCTCTGAAATGTTTTGACGGTGCAATAATGAAGAATTTAATATTTTATACTGTTTATGAAATATTACATGATTTATTGCAACGTTTCAACCCTTAAACCACCCTTATTGCAGAAAATAAAGCAAACATTTTTTTTCTCAACTTCATAGCATTTATAATGAATGAGACTCATCACTGTTTATAATATTACTGATGATTCATTGCAACGTTTCAACCCTTAAAAACAACCCTTAATGAGGAATTGAAGAATTTTTACCTGCTTCAAAACACTCAACGATACATTACTAAATTCATCGAGATTACTTAGAACTCGAAACTTAAATTATCTAATTAGTGAAAGGGAAAATGCAAAAATATTATTAAAAAAAAGACCTTTAATTTTGAACTCTTGCATTTTTCACGTATAGTTTTTGAGTTATTTCGAAAAAAAAGGAATTTTTTTTAAAATTAAAAATTTTTTTTTCATTATTTCAAACTTTTTAAAATTTAGGCATTCTAAACCAATCAAACTTGTAGAGCCTGTTATTAGTACCTAAATAAAGTCAACTGTACATGGATTGCGCCGCTTAGTTTCTATTTTTATGGTTCAGCCATAGATTTTATTGTTGATTTTTTCTTCGAAAAAATTAGATGACCGTTTTATTTTCATCATAACTCCACGAGTCTTTGAGCTACGAAATTTTTTCAAAAAGCATTGTAAAGGTCTTTACAAGCACTTTAAAATAAGTTATATTCTTAGAGAGTGATAACTCTGTTATTATTACATCTACGGTATTTATGAAAAATGGTGGAAAAACATTCACTTTTTATGGAAAATTAACATTTTCAATCGCAAATAACTCGAAAAATATTAATTCTTGGAAAAAACGTTATAGAGCATTTTTTGTGAATGTCACCCTCGAGTAGGGGTGGCATTCGCCCTCAGGGTGAAAGCACACATCGGCACTATGTAACTTTTGTTTCTTGAGTAATTTTCTACTTACTGTTAAAATTTCACGTCAATCGGTGCATGTGTCAAGAATTCGGCCCTAAAAACCGTCATAATCTGATCGCGATATATTTGCTTGTAAATACACATCAAGAATCTTAATTTTCGTAATTTTTTCTAGATGTTCTTCTTTGGATGTGTCAAAATCTGTTATGTAGATTCTGCTTCTAGCCTCTCTGCATATGCCTCTTATTGTTCAATATCGAATGTTGATTACTTCATTTTTGGTTTTGCAGTAGCCATCCATTTCTCTTAAGCCGTCACAAATGGATAGTGTAATTCTTAAACGCTTAAACTCTATTACCTGTGTTAATTACGTACAATGAACTCTAATAGTAATTCCTATTTGTGTACGATAACGTAGCCATATAACCGTTAATTTCTAGAACGGAGTGATAGAAGAAAACGACTTGAAGGACATGGGCATCGCTAGCGAGTTGGAACGTCAAATAATCTTAGATGCAATAAAGCAACTGCCACTGAAAATTAACGATCAACTACCTAATGTTTGCAACAACAATAATGAACAAAACACGGTTAAATTGTGGTTAAAAAAGATCAATCTCGATCAATACTATGATACTTTCGCTAAACATTTGTATCATGATATGGAACGGGTGAAAAGGATTTGGGACGTTGAACTGTCTGCTGTATTAGATATAGAAAAAATAGGGCATCGGAAAAGGATATTAGCGAGCGTTAGTAGCGGCGAGCATATTGTAGCCGGACCAAAACTGGAAGAAATCAGTATAGAAGCTAACTTACTGGTAAGTTAATATTAGTTGTCCGTACATCAGCAGATTATTAAAGGTTTTGATTCCGGCTCCAAAAAGCCCGCAACAAATTATAGGGTCTGAACGAGCTATACTTGAAGGTCAAGTCTGTCGGATCAGTTGGTGAATCTCTTCAGGGGGTTCTGATCCGATATTTATCCACTAGTTAATAGGTATACTTGTATGATGGCAAGAAAAAGATCTTGCTCCTTCACGAGTCGAATATTTTACCTACCAAGTTACATATTCGGTAGGTAAAATACGCCACTAACATATGTGTCAAAATGACAGACGTGGTCGGCGACGTATCAGATTCTCCAAATGTTACTTGGTCTGTGGACACCTAATAAGAAATATTGCTACAATATCCAGGTTCCAATTCTAAATCATTTTTATACACCTTCCCTTTTAGACCACATAGTATCACAAGCAATTGCATCAAGTTAAGGAGAAAACGCATTGGGCGGTCGCGGTCCCGTCACATCGCGGACCGTGCTAGACTCGATCGCATCGCGTTCTCCTCCCATCTTTTCCAAAGAATCTCGAGAGACCGCGATGCAATCGAGACGAGCTTCCTCTTCCATAGAATTCATTTTCTTAACTATTAAAACAATACCGCAACTATTTAAAGGAGAGCGCGAACACCATTCTGTGCAATTGCCAAATGCGACTGATTTTGTAAAAGACTACGATCAGCTCAGCCCAGAAAGAACTGCGGTGCGACAGGACCGCGACCGACTAATGCGTTCTCTGCTTTATAGTTACGCTTATTTCTTCTACGTCTAACCGTCATTTAAGCTTAAGCAGTTCTTTCAAGACTAATTTGATAACACAAGCAAGCAGAAAAAATTGGTATGTCTCCATATGAATCTTGATCCCAAGAAACCGAATCTTCTGTGGGAAATGCTCCATCACCCGCCATATTTTTTAATTACCAATAATCACCACTTAATCCCAAAAAGCATTCAAAACTCTGCTTTCGGTAGGTTTCTATTTGGGCATATACTTGGAAGACAAATCAGCGCATCTTATTCGTGGCTCATTGCAAATTTTGGTTATCCATTCTTTGCAACCCCTCAGGACTTCAAAAATACTAAAAACCCATTCTTATAATCTAAAAATCCTAAAAACCGGTTAAAATTCTACATTCGCTGATTCAAGTCACAAACTCAAAATACGAATTAAAAACGCGACGGCAGCCAGATCCACGCACTCAACAGACAACTTTTCATTCAGTTGGCGTCTCTTTAGATGCGGCCATAAAAAAGAGTCCTGTTAGGAATCATGATATGTCTCAAATCTTAGAAGGTAGTTCTTAATGAGTCAAGAAAATTTACTCTGGCTGATGTAAACCAATAAATCGATTTTTAGTTTATCGTTTTCCTTTTGTGTATTGCCTTTAGTCTTCTAATATGAAGGAAAAAATATGAAGAAAATTTCTTTGTATTAGTGTTGTTCGAAGACAAAAGAAATGGATACAAAAGGAAAATAATTAACTATAAACTACTCTATTGCCTTTGCCTGCTGCTCTGACAGCCTTTGCGTGTAGCTCTATAAGAGAATCAATTTCCACAAATTATTCGAAACTGCCTTTAGAGATTTCAGGTAGACTATGATTACAGATGGAGCATCTAAAGTGAAATCCACTAAGTGTAAAGTAGTAGACTTTGGAGTATCCGAGAGTAGGGAGTTTCTGGTATCTAATAAGCACTGTATAGTTACAAAACTGATTCTGAAAGTCCAGGATATATCTACGGTATTGGGTGAGTGGATCGTACTCCCTATCCGATGGAATCAGCCCTCTAGATTCTCCAAATTTGATCCGGCAAGATTACATCCATTAAGTCTGCTGGTGTACGGCCGGCAATTATATTTATTGGGTAACAAAGAATATCCTAAACAATGGAAAATAAAAAACATGCCGTAAACTAATCATTAAAAACTCTAGATATTTGCGGGTTGAACGTAATATCATTTAATATCATTAGTGTGCTCAACTAACAATTTTTTTAGAAAAGTAACCAACCGACAGGAGAGATGCCATCTCCCTCTACTCATTCAATTAACAGTAACACAGGAACGATTAGGCACAGACATAAAAAATCCAGACCTGCGCCTCCCCCACCTATAAAGAAAAACGTGGAACCAGAAAAGAAATCGCCAGCAGAAATATTTGTGGGAGGCAGCAACTCTATAAAGTCTCAATGGAGGCACCAGCCTATACTCCTAATAACCAGCTGCGTCAAATACTCAGCGAATGTAGGTAGTATCGTTGCAACTGTCCTGCATTCTATATATTGAATTTTAGTATCTGGGTTCGACAATGATAAAGGAGTTTAAAGGTACGGACTCCACCAAAAAGTCCATTCAGAAAGTCATGAAGTCTAAAGACCGTCCTGGAGAAGAGATTTGTTTGTCGATATCTTACAGGGGTGTGAAGTTTATTAATCCTATTGTTCAGGTACCGCAAATTTATTTTGTTGTTATTTGTTGACAGAAGTGAAAATTTTAGAAAATAATCTGCGAACACGAAATCAAGAACATGAACTGCGTTTGCCAGGACAATGAGAACCAGTGTTTCTTCGCGTATATCACGAAGGATGGTGATTCGTTCTATTGCCATGTCTTTCAGGCGGTTTCTCCGGTAAGTTTTTTTTAACATTGTTTTTTAGTGTTCCTGTACGAAAAAACATAGATTTATTGTATACGGGCTATAACTTTGAATGGGGTTCATATTTATATGGAAGCTACCTTTGACTTTTAGAAACACATATCGTAAATGTGGTTTCATAAATGAAAATCGATTATTTATTTTTAATTTTCATATTCTTCCGCTGGACAGGCTAGTGTAACCTCTAACAACCTTGTGCGCTAGCACAGCTGTCAAATCTCAAGTTTTCACACACCAATATTAGTTAATACTTAATGAATCACGAAAAAGATGTTCACTTTTTAAAAGCACTCGCAAGTAGCACGTTGCATAGGTATACAAAAGCAATGCTAATCCATGCAGTCGATTTAAAATGGTAACAAACATCCCGGTTCGATGCTGTCTAGTGATATCCTGTACAAGAGTTTAAAAAACGAATTATAACTGGACTATTTGTTTTATGTAAAAAACATGATTTCAGATTGAATTCTGGATAAAATATACTGTTACCCCTAAAAAAACTGACCCCCATTTACAGTTACATCCTGCATTATGCAGAAACTTGGTACGGGTTTAAGGATAACAAAATAGTTAAAGAATTATGCTTCACACTTAATAATTATTATTAGAAATTTGCAAACTATTACACATATTCCTAAAAATTCCTAAATCACATTCATATTTTCCTATAAAATATTAGAATAGAATTAATTTTACATAGATGTGCTTTTTTCTAGTTCTATGATTCTGGTGAATTTGTCTATCTTTAATTTTTAATTCTCACCCTTTTGAATCATCGCTTAACAGTATAATTTTAGACAGTATTTATAGACCAGGCTATAAAGAACGATTAACCCCAAAATATCTAGATTTTCGCGCCCCGGGGGGCGACTTCCGGCCGCCTGGGGGCGCGGGGGGCACGTGGATTGCAAGGTTCTCCGAATGACTGGAAAAATGAATCTCGGGGGTTTTCGCGGGTGCTGATTCCGAATTCGAGGGTGAAAAATATCCCTTGTGCTCGTGGAGGGGGAGAGGGGAGGGGTTGAATTCTAAAGTTCTCGAAATGACTGGGAAAATGTATCTCGGGGGTTTTCGCGGGTGTTGATTCCGAATCTGAGTGTGAAAATATCCCCTGTGCTCGTGGAGGAGGCGGTGGGGGAGGGGGGTTATAACATTCATGAACTGGTAACATGGAATAATGAGTATTTTGGGGATAGAAAATTATAACGTGTGATGTTAGTGATATATTAGGACAACCTCGGGGGGGAAAAATGAAAAGAGCACGAAATTCGATAATATTATGATGCTGCTTTTCGAAATTCCCGCTGTATACGCTCTCGAATCTCAGGTATACGGATGCGTGCAGCTGTCTGGCGGTACCTATACATAACAGTGGAATTTTTGGGGAGGGGTACCAGAAAAGAGTCCCCTGTACCATTGCGGGCGAAAATTGTTTTGGTACCACCTGTACCAATCCATCAAGCGACAGGAATGTCACCAATGAAAACGCCAAAGAGCTCGATGAAGAGGAGGAAGATTAGAGGGGGAGAAGGAGGGGAGAAGGTGGAGGAAGAGGAGGAGGAGGAAGAGAACGAGGAAGAGGAAGAGGAGGAAGATAATTTTGATTGGTAGTTATAGTTGTTTATATAATTGTTTGATAAATTAGTCCGTGTGACAATTAATACAGAAGGAATGTGCATTGAATATGTTGTAAGACAATATATATTTTAAAACAATAAATATACTTTTATACTTTAGAACAATAAATATATTTAAAAAAATTATCAGGTTTATCCTTTCTTTTTCCAACCGAACTTTTTAGATTGAGTTTCGTCCCATGATTTTCCATTAATTTATATTCATCCTTCTTAGAAGATTAACGCCCTTCCCCAAAATAATCAGAAATAGTCATCGGACGCATTTGGCAGGGTCAGATTCGGAATCAGNAAAAATAACTTGTTTTGCTCCGCAAAAAGTTTATTTAGGTATTTTGGGGTATTCTAAACAAAATAGTTCCTATGCGCTATGCTCCTAAAATCAACGGTTTCTGAGTTATAAACAATTTAATATACGAAAAAATGCAAAAACGGCCATTTTCAAGACTCTAAAACAATAACAAAAAATCAAGTTTTTGATGTTACTAAAGTTTAAAAGTAATCTTTAAACATCCCTTGACAAAGTATCGAGGAGTTATTTAGTGTAATTACATTGCAATGCGTATTATTTTACCTATTAACAATATACATTTTGACTTGCGCGCTTATGTTTTCCCGTGTATTTTTGTCTCCTGAACACGAATCCATAGTCTATTTTGCTCCATCACCCTTCGGTTTTCCGTAAATCGCTGATTACCTTCAGAAAATCGCTAAAAATCTTCAGCAAAATGGAGAAATTTAGGAAGTGACAAGATCTTAACACGTAACACATGTTATTTGACGTAATTTTATCTCCTGGATCCGAATCCGTTGTCAGAATTACTCCATAACCGTCTAGTCTTCAAAAAATCGCAGAAGATCTTCAGAAAAAAGGCGAATTTTGAGAAGTGACGAGATCTTGATATGCGGCATATGGTTTCCCGTGTATTTTTGCCTCTTGAACACGAATCCATAGTCTATTTTGCTCCATCACCCTTCGGTTTTCCGTAAATCGCTGAATACCTTCAGAAAATCGCTAAAAATCTTCGGTAAAATGGAGAAATTTAGGAAGTGACGAAATNCGTAAATCGCTGAATACCGTCAGACAATCGCTAAAAATCTTCAGTAAAATGAAGAAATTTAGAAAGTGACGAGATCTTAACACGTAACACATGTTTTTTGACGTAATTTTATCTCCTGGATCCGAATCCGTTGTCAGAATTAGTCCATAACCCTCTAGTCTTCAAAAAATCGCTGAAGATCTTCAGAATAAAGGCGAATTTTGAGAAGTAACGAGATCTTGACATGCGGCATATGGTTTCCCGAGTATTTTTGTCTCGCGAACACGAATCCATAGTCTATTTTGCTCCATCACCCTTCGGTTTTCCGTAAATCGCTGAATACCGTCAGACAATCGCTAAAAATCTTCAGTAAAATGAAGAAATTTAGAAAGTGACGAGATCTTAACACGTAACACATGTTTTTTGACGTAATTTTATCTCCTGGATCCGAATCCGTTGTCAGAATTAGTCCATAACCCTCTAGTCTTCAAAAAATCGCTGAAGATCTTCAGAATAAAGGCGAATTTTGAGAAGTAACGAGATCTTGACATGCGGCATATGGTTTCCCGAGTATTTTTGTCTCGCGAACACGAATCCATAGTCTATTTTGCTCCATCACCCTTCGGTTTTCCGTAAATCGCTGAATACCGTCAGACAATCGCTAAAAATCTTCAGTAAAATGAAGAAATTTAGAAAGTGACGAGATCTTAACACGTAACACATGTTTTTTGACGTAATTTTATCTCCTGGATCCGAATCCGTTGTCAGAATTAGTCCATAACCCTCTAGTCTTCAAAAAATCGCTGAAGATCTTCAGAATAAAGGCGAATTTTGAGAAGTAACGAGATCTTGACATGCGGCATATGGTTTCCCGAGTATTTTTGTCTCGCGAACACGAATCCATAGTCTATTTTGCTCCATCACCCTTCGGTTTTCCGTAAATCGCTGAATACCGTCAGACAATCGCTAAAAATCTTCAGTAAAATGAAGAAATTTAGAAAGTGACGAGATCTTAACACGTAACACATGTTTTTTGACGTAATTTTATCTCCTGGATCCGAATCCGTTGTCAGAATTAGTCCATAACCCTCTAGTCTTCAAAAAATCGCTGAAGATCTTCAGAATAAAGGCGAATTTTGAGAAGTAACGAGATCTTGACATGCGGCATATGGTTTCCCGAGTATTTTTGTCTCGCGAACACGAATCCATAGTCTATTTTGCTCCATCACCCTTCGGTTTTCCGTAAATCGCTGAATACCGTCAGACAATCGCTAAAAATCTTCAGTAAAATGAAGAAATTTAGAAAGTGACGAGATCTTAACACGTAACACATGTTTTTTGACGTAATTTTATCTCCTGGATCCGAATCCGTTGTCAGAATTAGTCCATAACCCTCTAGTCTTCAAAAAATCGCTGAAGATCTTCAGAATAAAGGCGAATTTTGAGAAGTAACGAGATCTTGACATGCGGCATATGGTTTCCCGAGTATTTTTGTCTCGCGAACACGAATCCATAGTCTATTTTGCTCCATCACCCTTCGGTTTTCCGTAAATCGCTGAATACCGTCAGACAATCGCTAAAAATCTTCAGTAAAATGAAGAAATTTAGAAAGTGACGAGATCTTAACACGTAACACATGTTTTTTGACGTAATTTTATCTCCTGGATCCGAATCCGTTGTCAGAATTAGTCCATAACCCTCTAGTCTTCAAAAAATCGCTGAAGATCTTCAGAATAAAGGCGAATTTTGAGAAGTAACGAGATCTTGACATGCGGCATATGGTTTCCCGAGTATTTTTGTCTCGCGAACACGAATCCATAGTCTATTTTGCTCCATCACCCTTCGGTTTTCCGTAAATCGCTGAATACCGTCAGACAATCGCTAAAAATCTTCAGTAAAATGAAGAAATTTAGAAAGTGACGAGATCTTAACACGTAACACATGTTTTTTGACGTAATTTTATCTCCTGGATCCGAATCCGTTGTCAGAATTAGTCCATAACCCTCTAGTCTTCAAAAAATCGCTGAAGATCTTCAGAATAAAGGCGAATTTTGAGAAGTAACGAGATCTTGACATGCGGCATATGGTTTCCCGAGTATTTTTGTCTCGCGAACACGAATCCATAGTCTATTTTGCTCCATCACCCTTCGGTTTTCCGTAAATCGCTGAATACCGTCAGACAATCGCTAAAAATCTTCAGTAAAATGAAGAAATTTAGAAAGTGACGAGATCTTAACACGTGACACATGTTTTTTGACGTAATTTTATCTCCTGGATCCGAATCCGTTATCAGAATTACTCCAAAACCGTCTAGTCTTCAAAAAAATCGCTGAAGATCTTCAGAAAAAAGGCGAATTTTGAAAAGTGACGAGATCTTGACATGCGGCATATGGTTTCCCGTGAATTTTTGTCTCCTGAACACGAATCCATAGTCTATTTTGCTCCATCACCCTTC